CTTTGCCTTTTTTCTAGGTCCTGTAGAAGAGCCAGGGTTCCTCCCACCTCGTGTCCAAGTGTTTATTCCACAGCTGTTGGTGGGCTCCCTGCCTCTGCCAGCACTGGGCTCGGTGCTCGCTGGGATACGTTGGGGAGCAATGTCTCTGAGAGTTTACAAGCCAGCCTAGAGCAGGGGTTCTCAAAGTGTGTTCCTGGGACAATCAGCAACAGCATCACCTGGAAACTTGTTAGAAATGCAAACCCTTCGGCCCTACCCCAGACTCCTTGAATCAGAAACTTGGTTTAATAGGCTTCCCAGGTGATTCTAACACATCCTAAAACCACTCATCTACAGCATGGGTTCTCAACTGAGGTCAAGCTCCTTCCCAGGGAACATTTGACAATGTCTGAAGACATGTTTGGTTGTTACAACTGGGGGGCAAGGGGGTACCTTCTGGCATCTAGTGGGTTGAGGCCAGGGATGCTGCTAAACACCCTACAATGCACAGGACAGCCCCCGCAGCAAGAATTATCTGGTCTAAAATGTCAGCAGGGCTGAGGTTGAGAAACCCCACCCTAGAGGAGATAGGATAGACTATCCGATAGAGGGCAGAGAGTACAGTGACTCTTTTCTCCCTTTATTCCAGACGTGTCACTCCCTGCTCACATGACCTGGGGCAAGTCACCCCTCACCCCGCCTCAGTCTACCCAGCTATGAAGTGAGGGGTTTGGACTCAAGGTTGCTAAGTTCCTTTCCAGTTTGGGTGTCTATTGGCTCCAACCAAACCACTGGTGGGCCCCCTGCAGGTTGGGCAGATGCAGCCCTTTTCCTCCTCTCAGGTGCCAGCTGGCAGAGAGGTGCCTTAGGGAGGGGAGGGTTCTGTCGCCTGCCTACTGTCACCCCCCTCCCCAACCCAGGCTGCTGCTACCAGAGTCCAGCTGGCTTTGGGTTTCCCTGTTTACAGTCCTCCCCATTGTGGCTGATGTTTGCTTCCACCGGCCCAACCCCAAGGAGCTCACCCTGCGGAAGAAAGTGAGCCACCAGCTGCACACATGCTTGCTTTGAGCAAGGGAGCTGGGCTGGCAAAGAGGCACCCTCTCTCCTGAGTCTCAAACCACCACTTTTCTCATACTCTAAATAAAGCAGCAGCCCTGTCCAGGGAGCTCCGGAGGCCTGAGGGCAGCTCCCTGGACACCAGCCTGCTGGGCCTGGCACTTCCTGGACCCTCCAGGCCCCAGGGGTGGGTGACTCAGTTCTCATTCCAAGCCCGGGAGCGTGGGGCTCAGTTAAACTAAATGCAGAGTGGGAGCCTAAGCTCTGATTGGTCAGACTCCGAGGCCCCGCCTCCCCCCAGGCCCGCTGACCTACTACCTCTTTTCCCATTGAACCGCTGTTGCCAGGAAGGGAGGGTCTTGTTTATTATTTAATTTTTTGGAAAAGTTGTGCCGGCCAGGGAAGCACGCCGGGGCAGACGGCCGCGGGTGCCGTGCGGTCGTGGCTCGCCTGGCTCGGGGGCTCCCAGAAAGCAGGTATGAGGCATAAGGCTGAAAAGAGATGCGGAGGGGAACATGACGGGAGGAGCGGGGGCGGTGTGTGCAACGACATCAGCGATAAGGAATGAACGCTTCGGCTACAAATTCTAATCTTCACAATTGCGGTGTGATTTGGGCCAAAACCCTTGCCTGCTCTGAGTTTTGCCTTAAATACGTGAAAAGGAAGGTCCGTTTCGATGGATTTCAGCTGCTTATTGGGTGGATTTGCATGGTTGGTCACACCCCTTGAAAGCCCACTGGCAGATCATCAATGCCTGTTACATCTGGCTAACCTAGAACGCCTTACTTCGTGTGCTTTTAATAACCTCTACTAAATAAAAAGGGGTTACTTAGGGGCCAAATTAACACACTGCGCTAAAGCCTGCTTTGCAATTCGAGATCAGTGGCTCTAAAGCATCATCCGTAAGCCAAGTAGTAATATTATTATCTTAATTAGGATGCATGAGACGGGGCTTTAAAATTTCTCCTTGAATCTGTTAGCATTGCCTCGGCCATGCTGAAGTGAGCCATCTTAATGCCCCTTGTCCTGGATTGCCTGCGTTTAGATGGGATATTGAACCTTGATCATTCTATCACTCTGGGCCAGCGTGGTTCAGTTTTGCTGCATGAGATTCAGGGGAGATAACCACGCTGCATACACATCAGATCAGCTGAGCTGGCAGGACCACGCAATTGTAAAAACGCATTGGGGAGTGGGGCCAGTGCCTGCAGCCTGCCCTGCGTCTCCTACCGGCTCCTAGAGGGTCGCTGTGTGCAGAGCTACACAGCTCTGCTTCCTTGGCTGCTTCCCAAGGAGGTGATCAAAGGGTGCACACACGGAGCCCATGTGGACAGGTTGAAAGCACTGAGATAATTCTGCCCAGAAAGGGAAAGTTGGTCATTTATCCCAGAGGGAAATGACCGTGGTGCTCTTGGACGCTCAGTGCTGAAGTCGGGTAAGGAGGGTGGTTTGTAAAGGAGGTTGAAGAAGTTCATTATGTCCGCCCCCTGGACAACGTTGTGCAAAATTTGTTTTATTTGCTTCCACTGCGCACACCGATTGCACAAGCATTGGTAGCGTGCCTTGCTGTGCCAGGCATTATGCTGGGCACTGGCATCAGGGCAGTGACCAGGACAGATAACAGCCCTGCCTGCCCGAGCTCCAGATTATTGTTGTACAACCCGCCTGCCAGGTGAACTTCACCCATCTGCTCCTGTTGCCGGAGGCAGTGCTGCTCCCTGCTTTCTATCTCCTCCCACACGCTCCCCACATGGCCCCAGAATCCCTAAGCCTAGTCCCGCCTTCAGATACCCAGAGGCTAGCAGCTGGCCCTTCTCCACCTTCTCAAAGGGTAGGATTTCCTGGCAGGGACAGAGGGCCTCTCTAGAAATGGAAGAAGCCTGTGCAAGTTGGTTTTTCTGAATTCCTTAAAATAGGAGGGACTCATCTCCGGCTGTCCCCTGCCTTGTTTTAACTGTAGGAATGCTGGTTCCTTCTGACACATAGAAGACCAGGCACTGTTGGTGCTTTGGGTTGAAAGGTGAAAACCATGGCCTGTCTTTGGGCTGGGGATAGGGCACATACTGACCCGCCACATGCCACGTCTCCGGCTGGGATAGCAGAGGCCTGCTCTCTGGCACAGCTTAGACTTTCAGTAAATGTGCAGTGAAAGGGACCTTGAGCCACTTCAGAGTTTCACAACCGAAAGGAGGAGATAGGAGTTTAATGGTGGATACACTGGGTATAGTTCCCAGGAAGAATGCTGCAGTGGATTCTAAGAAGTGAGCCAGTGACCCGAGAGATGGGGTTGGAAAACTGTCATAGTAATCTAAATGCAGGTGACAAAGGCACTGGTTTAGAGGAGGGGGCTGGGCATGGAGGGGGCTAAATCTGAGTGGCATCAGGTCTTGGTGATGGGCGGGTGGAGAGAAAAATCAGAGATGCTTCCAAGGACTGGGTATAGCAGCTGGGAGGTCAGTAGGGTCAGGGACAGAAACAGGGCGTTCGATTTCCACTGTGGTACAGGAAGAAGGGGGAGCCAACCCCAATGGTTCTCTGTCAGGAAGTTCCATTTCTGGACCACTGTGAATGAGTATTTCAAGGACCGGCCCCCAAGGGCCCAGTGCTCAGTTTAGAGGGGCAGCTCTTGGCAGGGGCAAACCCCAGGGCCTTGGAAAGCTGCTCCCTCCCCCCACTCAGGGTCCTGTGGGGAACAGAGGACACACTAGAGCGGGTTTCCTAGCAGGGTCCTCCCCTGCCTCGGGTTTCCAAGACAGAGTCGGGGGCGGGGCTGGCGGGCTGTGGCTGTGCCAAGACCTCATCTGAGACACTGAGATGCTTTCTCCTCCGGGTGGGTCCTAACCATGTTGCATCCAGCAGAACCTCTGCTTCCTCTGGCCCAGGGACTGTATCCATATTCATGCACATTTCCCCAAACACGAACCTTCTGTGATTACCTCCCTGGGACTGTGGAAGATAAGGAGCTAGAAAGGAACAGTGCTGCCCGGTGTCTTCCTGATACTGGTTTGCAGGAATTAAGTTCTTCTGTCTTCCCTCCGGAGAAGAAAGACGCAGCAGTCAGACAAACGGGACTAAAACAGCTTATATGGAATGTCATAGGCAAAACTATAGACAGAAAGTAGCATAGTGGTTGCCTAGGACCTGAGGTGGGGTGGGAGGCAATAAGGGGGTGATAGCTAAAGGGTACAGGGTTTCTCTTTGTGGTGATGAAAATGTTCTGAAATTGTGGTTATGGTCGCACAAATCTGTGGATAGACTAAAAATCATGGAGTTGTACACTTTAAATGGGTGAATTATATGGTATGTGAATTATATCTCAATAAAGCTGTTAAAAACCAGTGGAGATGTGTGGCCATGTTCGGGCTATCTAACACTCTCCCCCTCCCCATCCCAAATTGGATTTAACCTTCCAGCATTTCAGACCTCCCCACCTTGCCCCATATATACACCCCAAGGACAGGACCCTCTGAGAGAGAGAGACAGCAAGGGGCTGGAGCCCCGGGTCCATTCCCACCCCTTAGAGAAACTGCTGCATCTCCCTTGGGGAAGGGAGTCACAAGGGTAGAGAGAAGCTTGTGGAGCAGAAGGCCCCTCAGAGAAACATGAGGCCTTAAGATCGCAGCCTCCACCCCCAGGGCTGTGTAGGAGCCAACCCCGGTTCATATTACATTTTCCCAACTTGATGAATGAATTTCATAGCTCAGAAGGATTATGGGTACCGTAATTATTGTCTTTTTTGTTGTTGTTGTTTTCCAATATTTCTGTACTATGCTTATTTTATTTATGTATGTATGTATGTATGTATGTATGTATGTATTTATTTATTTATTTATTTATTAGGTCAAAAGAAGGTGAAGTCAGGGAGGGGCTGGGCGGGAGAGAAGTTGGGAGGATGGCGTCTCTGGCCAGGGGCTGGGGTCTGGTTGGGTAGTCTCCGTGGCTGATGGACCCTCCCTTCTCTGCAGGAGTCATGTGGCTGGAAATTCTTCTCGCCTCAGTGCTGGGCTTCGTCATCTACTGGTTCATCTCCCGGGACAAGGAGGAAACGCTGCAACTTGAAGATGGGTGGTGGGGACCCGGGACGAGGCCCACAGGTGGGGAGGACGAGAGCATTCGCCCTTTCAAGGTGGAAACATCGGATGAGGAGATCAATGTAAGGCCCCTTTTTCCAGTCAGGGCTGAGCACAGGGGAGGTGGGAAGCCCCTTCTGGGGATGGGCCTTAGGCTGGGGATGGGAAGGGGAGGGGACGGGCCCCTCTCGGGAGTATGGTTTAGTCTGCGCTTCTCCCACTGGGCATACAGGTTGCCCCAGAGAGGCGTGCCCAGCTCGCCCACTCTGCCCACCGGGTCCCTTCTCCTTCCCTCCTTTCCCCACCCAAGGCCCATCAGTGCCCTGGTGGGAGGGGGCTGCCCAGCTGGACCCAGTTACATGCCTCAAAGGCCACAGAAAGCAACTGTTTCCCCTCCTTTGTGCCCCACCTGAAACCTAGGGAGTGAGCTTGTAGGAGGAGAAAGCAAGCAGGTTTTCGTCAGGGTCTGGACAGAGATCCTGAGTGTAGAGCAAGGCCACAGTGACATAAAATGCTAAAGCACAAACCTGCTGCAGGGGCCAGCATTGGTTAAGCACCAAGTGTGTGTCAGGCATCCGCGCTCCCAGTCAGCCCCTGCAGTAATCCTATAGGGTGAGGACTGGTGTTCCTGTCACACAGATGTAGACACTGAAGCTCAGAGAGGTGAAGCAACGTATCCAAGGTGACTGAGATATTAAGCAGAAGGATTTGGGCTAGATGTGTTGGACTCCAAATCCCTCCTCCAACACAGGGCTAGAGACAGGAAGAATGTGACCAGTGGGGTGGGCTGATCTGACAGCCAGCTTAAGCAGGGCCAGAAGGGGTCCCCACCCATTCTTGCTTTCCTTCTGTGGGTATCAGAGTGCCTGCTTTGTGCAGGCATGCTGCTGGATGCTTGGAAGGAGAGATTATTCCCTCTCCTAGCTCATAGTCCAGAAATATGCAGAGAAAAATTAACTAAAAGATTAATAGGGACAAATGCTGTAAGAGGTGCCAAGAAAAAGACAGTGTTCTGAGAAAGAAGGGATTAAAAGGCAGAAACTGGGCTGCAGGCTGCGACAGACTCCCTTGGTAAGACTTGATAAGGCCTCGTTATTTAGGACAGAGGCTGAGCCCTGCGGATAACTCCTTTAGTGGGTTCTTAGGCTCAGAGCCTACGATTTCTGAAATCTGTTTGGGGGTGACTCAAGTGCTTGGGGGAACACTCTACCACTTGAGAGGCTCCATGAGCCGACTTGAACTTCCCCCAGCTGAGGCTGGTCTCTTGGCCTGATACACCCCCATTAGATTTGTGTTTCTGCTGCCTGTCATTTTTATCCCAGCTGAGTTATCATTCACTGCTATATGTCAGAGTCAGAAAGCCATGCCCCGTAGGACATGCCACCTGTTTTTGTATAGCCCCCATGCTAAGAATAGTTTTACATCTTTAAATGGGCGAAAAACATCAAAATGAGAATAATATTTCATGACATGAAAATCATATGGCATTCAAATTCAGTGTCTATAAATAAAGTTTTATTGGAACACAGCCACACCCATGGGTCCACGTACTATCCATGGCTTCCATACTACAAGGACAGCATGGAGTTGTTGCAGCTCGAAAAGCCTGAAATATTTACTTTCTCGCCCTTTACAAAAAAAATTTCTCTGGCCCTTGGCGGGTGTGTGTGTGTGTGTGTATATACATAATTAAAGATATGTATTGTTCATATCTTTAAAACTGAAAGATGAGAAATAAACCTGAAGTCAACAGTGAAGAATGGATGCTTTGGGAACAGCCATGTTGTGGGAAACAGGGTTTCTTCTGGGACAACCCAGAGCACAAGTCTACAGACCAATGGCCTCCTCACCCTTTTGGATGACACGTTGGGAGATTGCTTTGCCTTTGCTGTGGTGCAGTGTCTTGTGGCTACAGCGTTTGCTCTGTCTTCTGGAAACAAACTTTCTCTGTGCTCTGTCCCATCCACCCCTCTCTCTCCTTGGGGTCCTGCATTTTGCTCCAGGACTTACACCAGAGAATCGACAAGGTTCGTCTAACCTCACCTTTGGAGGATAGCCGCTTCCACTATGGTTTCAACTCCAACTATCTGAAGAAAGTCCTCTCCTATTGGCGGAATGAATTTGACTGGAGGAAGCAGGTGGAGGTCCTCAACAGATACCCTCAGTTCAAGACTAAGATTGAAGGTATGTTTCCAAAACACCAGCTGGAGAGGGATCTAGGTCATGGGAACAGCTTTCTCAAACACAAGACGTGACTTAGACAAAGCTAAGGAGACCCGGAATCCAATGATTGGTCACTGGGATGTATTTATAAGGTATGAACTCAGCAGGATGCAAAAATTATGCGAAATGCCAACAAATACAACAGTCTGAGCCCGGGTTCACATGCTGTCTGCCCAGACCCAGCAACGCTGAGCTGGCCACCTCCTGTTCCTGGGCCCATCAAGCCTTAAACACACCTGTTCTTGGCTCCCCAGCCTGGGGTTGGTCCAACGCCCCTTCTCACTCTGTTTGCTGCTGTCCTCTCTCAACAGGGTCCTCCTAGCCCTGTGCTCTGGGCTGCTCAGAGTTCAACCTCTGACTCCTACCCCAGTGTTCTGTCCTCGTCATTCGGCCTCCCTGGTCTGTGGTGAGCATTTCTAGCTCTGGCTGCTAATCCTGGGCCTCCCACTGCGGATCGGTCTCTACAGAGGCCTCCAGGGACGCCCAGTCCATCACCTCAGAGAGGAGGAGAGAGCTGCACAAGTCACAGGGAGGAACAGAACCCAGCTCTCCAGATGCCCAGGCTGCCCCGGCTCAGGCCCTAGCTGGGACCTCCCCCACCCCCCAAGGCCCTCCCCTCACAATCCACCAGGCCCAGCGCTGCCTCTGAGCCCAAGTTGGCTCCGTACCCAGCAGCTGGGCCTGGAGCAACCTGAGGGCACCCAGACCTTTAGAGTAACCGAAAAAAACATTTCCTCATCAAAGGGCAAATTACGAAGTACGGGCTTTTAACATTTGTCTTAACATTAAAAATTCAAATATTTAACATTAAAAAAGTACAGAAGGATGCCCAGTGAAAAGGAGTCTTCATCTCGGGCCTTCTCCCAAACCCCAGTTCCTTCCCCAGGAACAATTTCTGCTTTTCTTATATCCGCTTCCAGGGAGAGCCCATGCACATGCAAGCATGTATGGGTATTTTTTTTCCTAATTTTAAACCCAAATGATAATGTGATAGAATTTGACTTAAAAAGAATCTCATATCCTGCAATGTGTTTCAAAGAAGGTAAGATTACCTACTAAAATAAACTTTTAAAATAAGAGTAAATTCAGCAACATAGAAGGACACCAGGATATATTGTTAAGTGAAAAAAAATAAGGTTCCAAAATAGAATGTATGTAGGGTTCTATTTTTGTTAACAACAAGTTATGTTCTCTCAGCATTTAAAAAAAACAAAAGTCTGAACTGTCACAGCCAAGAGGCGCTTAAGGAGACATGACAACTAACTATGACATGGTGTCCTGTTACAGAAAGAGCACATGAGTTCAAAACTAAAGAAATCTGAGTAACACTCCACTGTATGTATATGCTGATATCCTTCAGCCTTAAAAAAGAAGGAAATCCTGTGCAGTGAAGTAAAATAAACCAGTCACAGAAGGACAAATTCTGCACGTTTCCACTTACATGAGGCATCTAAAATTGTCAGGCTCATAGAAGCAGAGCGTGGAATGGTGACAGGGGCTGGGAGGTGGGGGAAATGCAGAGATGCAAATTAAGAAGTATAAAGTTTCCTTTATGCAACATGAATAACTTCTAGAGATCTGCTGTACAACATCGTACCTGTAGATAACAGTATTGTATTACACACTTAAAAATTTGTAAAGAGGGTCAGTCTCATGCTCTTACTACCATACGATTTTAAAAGTAACAAAAAAAAAATACCTAAGGAAATCTGAATTAAGTATGGATTTCAGTTACTCAAGTATTGGTACTGGCTCATGCATTATAACAAATGCACTGTACTAACATACAACGTTAAAAGTAGAGGAAAGTGGGTATGGATATATGGGAACTTACTGTGCTATCTTCACTATTTTTCTACAAATCTAAAGTAGTTCCAAAATAAAAAATGTATGTAAAAAAAAAAAAGCTTGGATGGACAACCCAATGTTCTCTTCAGATAGTGAGATTACATGTGATTTTCCCCCCCTTTTGACTGTGTTTGCTGTTTTCTGCAGGAAACTTGTATCATTAGTATAATGAATTCACAACAGACCAGAAAGAGCAGTGGCTAATCTGTGCTGTCAACTCCAGCCCTATTGGTGGAGGGTTCCAGGTGTGACAGCAGCCCTGAGCTTGTTTGCTGTGACCTCCCAGGCACTACCTGGGCCCCTCGCCTGGGAAGGGGGGCTTTCAGAGGGATGCTGGAGGGGCCTGGGACCCACTCACCTGCCTCTGGCTAGGATGACGTTCCAAGTGCCCAGCACTTCACCCTAAACAAAAATCCTCCACTTGAAAAGAATGATGCATTGAATGTGTCCATTGTAGAAAAAATCGAAAGTGCATATAACATGAAAAAAACAAAAATGAAAGCACTTGGAATTCTGTTCATCTTTTACATTTTCATAGTTTATCCTTCTATACTTTAAAATGCATATACACACAGTATAATGATATGCATACATATGACAGTTTACAAAAGTTGGGTCACACATGGCTATGACTTGGAATTTTTCTTCTACCACGTAGCAATACATCCTGGATTGTTTTCTATGTCAAATAACACCCATCTGTCCCCCCAGGGCTGGATATCCACTTCATCCATGTGAAGCCCCCTCAGCTGCCCTCCGGCCGCACCCCAAAGCCATTGCTGATGGTGCATGGCTGGCCTGGCTCCTTCTTTGAGTTTTATAACATCATCCCGTTCCTGACTGACCCCAAGAACCATGGCCTGAGCGAGGAGCACATTTTCGAAGTCGTCTGTCCTTCGATTCCTGGCTATGGCTACTCAGAGGCATCCTCCAAGAAGGGTATGGGGGCTGCTGGGGGCCGTGTAACCACCCCTCCTTGCCTGATAGGAGCCAAGTTTTCCTACCAGGCTCTCCTTCCGGGAGGATGAGGCAGGAAGTCTCACCTGGGACAACTCCCTTCACAGCCTGAGGACGCTGGGGAAGGGGCCTGAAACTGGAGGGAAGAGAAGCAAGCAAGGAGGGCATTTTTATTACGCAAAGGCCCCGCGAACCTTCTTGAAATCTGAGGAGTGCGGTGGGCCAGGGACTGGGCAGAGCAACGGTCACTGTTCAGGGCTGGCTCAGGGGGCCGGGACTCTTGTGTTCTCAGGAGCTCCTCACTCAGGGGCAGGCCCACATCTGGGCCCTGGACTGTTCCAGGCCAGCAAGGCTGACCACGCCCCACATGCCATGTGGGCCCATAGAAGCCCACCCGGGTTGGCCTGAGCCCATCACATGCCCTCAGCCTGGCTATCCACTCACTCCCTCTCCACCAAGGCAGGGACTGAGCACCCCACCTTTGGGCCCCAGGATTCCTTCTCTCCTAGCTTGGGGCAAGGGGGACAAGGGGGTGGTGAGGACTTGCACAGGACACCAGGAGGACCCAAGGAGTGACCTCTCCATGACTTCTCTTTCTCCCTCACGACCAGGCTTGAATTCAGTGGCCACTGCCAGGATCTTTTATAAGCTGATGCTGCGGCTGGGCTTCCAGGAATTCTATGTTCAAGGTGGGGACTGGGGATCCCTGATATGCACCAACATGGCCCAGCTGGTGCCCAGGTGAGGGTCGCTTTCCGGCGTGTGTGTGCCCAGCGTCTATGAAGTGGACGTCTACGCAGGGCGGCAGGGTTATTCACGCCACCTCTGCCAGGACATCGTGTCTGAGCCTTGGAGTGCCCTCTTGCTAGGGGCCACCCAGGCAGGATGCTCGTGAACCCAGGGGAGAGGAGGGACGGTCCTCTGTCACTCAGCTCTGCCTTTGACACGGATCCTCCCTTTATTCGGTGTCACACAGGGTGGGTGACTCTGGGCCAACTGCCCAGGTACAGAGGGCCAGCTAGAGGGGAAAGTCAGTCCATAGACCTTTCTGATGGACTGAGCCGTGGGAGAGAGCTGACTGGAACATTCTAGAAATGATTTTCTCCCCAACCTGCTCCTTCACCTCATGTGGCCCCCCAGAGAGGCAGATACTAAAGGGGTTTCGACCTGGTGGCCTCTTCCTCTTCCATCTCCTTCCTTCCGCTCTTTCCTGACACCAGCCCAGCCTCACCTGGCCCTTCTCTGCCCTCAGCCACGTGAAAGGCGTGCACGTGAACATGGCTTTGATCCTAAGAAATTTCTACCCCCTGACCCTTTTCCTGGGACGGCATTTCTCGGGGCTGTTTGGCTACACCGAGCGGGATATGGAGCTGCTACACCCCGTGAAGGAGAAAGTGTTCTTCAGCATAATGAGGGAGAGCGGCTACTTGCATATCCAGGCCACCAAGCCTGACACTGTGGGTGAGTGCTCAGGAGGGGACCCGGCTCGTGGCCTGCTCCACCGGGGGCAAGGGAAGGCGGTTTCCATCATCCCATGCACCCCAAGCGCCGGGGCAAGAGCTGCTCTGTGGGGCCTGCACCACACCTCAGTCTTGACGGCCAGCTCCCTGGTCCCAGGCCTGAGCTGCTCCCTGCCTCGCTCCCTTGCTTCTTCCCCCACCAGGCTGTGCCCTGAACGACTCCCCTGTGGGACTGGCTGCCTATATTCTCGAGAAGTTTTCCACCTGGACCAATTCAGAGTTCCGAGACCTGGAGGACGGAGGCCTGGAGAGGTGAGACCCCATGCATCCCTGCTGACAGCCCCCCCCCATCCCAGCCGCACCCACCCGTCACCCTCCTCTCCATCTTCACCTGGGTGGGGTGGTCAGCAAGTGCCATCTGTTATTGGATGACCCACAAACCCCCACCCTCTGACCAGCGTAGACCTGATGTCTAGACAAGGAACCTTGAGGCACAGAGAGGTCTGAGCTTCGCTCCAAGCCTCACAGTGGACTGGATAAGAATAGGATGCAGCGTTCGAGACTGTATATGCTCTGTTTGCTAAATAGCCTCATTCTGGCTCTGCTTTTCCAGGAAGTTCTCTCTGGACGATCTGCTGACCAACATCATGATCTACTGGACAACGGGCACCATCACCTCCTCCCAGCGCTTCTACAAGGAGAACATGGGACAGGGCTTTATGGCCGAAAAGCACTATCGGTGAGCCTGCTTGAGCCCGGAGCTGGCCTCTGAGGCAGGGAGCAGGAGGACCCTGGTCTTGAACTCAAGGGAGGGCATTTGATGGCAGAAAAGTACAGGCTTGCCTGCAGGGTGCACTGGGTGTGCAGGATGAGAGCACAGCTCAAAGGTCAGGGGTGTTCGGATAAATCCCTCTGCCTTTAGAATTAGCTCCTGGAGGGAACCCTGGGCCTCCCCCAGGGCCACTGATGCTTCTGAGACTTCTCCTGGCACCCTTTCCTAATCTCATAGAAAGACCCTCAGGGGGCAGTTACGGGAAAGGGGAACAAAGGTGGGGAGTTACAGGCTGTCCCATCCCACTCACCAGCCTGGGCAGCCCTTCCAGAAAAGAGGGCCCTTCGTGGGTTGGAATTGAGGGAGATGGTTAACACCTTAGGTCCATCCTTTTCATCCTGGCTCCCTGTGGGTGGGCCAGCTGACCCTTCCCCCGGCTGCCCCTGAACCCCCTGGGGGCAGCCTACCCCATCAGTGGGATTTCTGTCCTTCCAGGATGAAAGTCTACGTGCCCACAGGCTATGCTGCCTTCCCTTGTGAGTTAATACATGCCCCGGAAAAGTGGGTGAGGCTCAAGTACCCGAAGCTTATCTCCTACTCTTACATGGCCCGTGGGGGCCACTTTGCTGCCTTTGAGGAGCCGGAGCTGCTCGCCCGGGACATCTGCAAGTTCGTGGGGCTGCTGGAGCAGCAGTGATGCCACTGGGGACTGGCTGTCACCTCAGAGGCAGCCCCTGACCCTTTGTGGCAGGCTCCCTCACTGAAACCTGCCCTTTTACCTGGAAGTCCCAGGTCTCCTAATGCCAGCGTCCCCAGGGAGTAGGGCTGGCAGGGAGGCTGCTTCCATCATCTCTTGGTGAAGAGCCTCTTTTCTGAGGAATGGGTTTGCTTCCGTCTCCTGCCCATCCCAGGGCACCCCCCACACACACACTCACCTTTTCCCTGTGCACTCGCCCACATGTATTAAACAACCTGGCTTTGATGATAAATGATTTTACTTCTAAGAGTGGCTGGAACTAAGTGCCCTGCGCCTGCCCGGATCCCACGTGGGGCTTCCCTTCTAGCAGAACTGGCAGGTCTGCAGCCTGGGTTGGGAAGGGGGTCCCGCTGCACCCTGGCAGGGGAGAATGGGACAGACCTGCTCGGGGCACCAGGACTCCGCTCTACCTGCTCCTGGTGCCCGGGGCAGCTTGGAGCAGAGACTGAGGGGCCGAGTGACTGCTGGAGGCAGGGTCCAAACAGGGGCCCCAGGTCCGCGCAGCCCAGCCCACCTCTCTGGGAATTAAGGCAGTCTCGCCCACTCTGCCCCACGCCCACGTGTGCTTCTGTCGCCCCCTGGAGGCAGTAGAAAGGCAGCTTCTCTGGTAAGTGCCCAAAGCTGTGCCCCAGCCCCGCGATCCCACCGGGAGAGAAAAGGCAAGGGACTGCACGTCCTTCCTGCTAGGGTCACAGCTCAAGACTAGTGCACAGCCCTGCGCCCAGGCCAGGCACCCCCTACTCCTCCCCTGACTCCAAGGAGGCCCTGAGCACTGCTCCGCACACCTCCCACCTTGGAGGGAGCCCTCAGATGGAGTCAAGGGCTGGAGGAGACTGAACACCACGCACTCACCAGTCTGGCTGAATGGGCACTTTATTAGAGGTCCTCATTGTCCCTGCCTGCTGCCGGGTAACCCTGGCCCAGCCATAGTGTCACTGGCAACATGATACAAAAACACAGAACCATAGCAGGGTACAGAGAGGTGCGCAGCTGGCAAGATCCTGCACTGGCCGTTCCCTTCCTGCTCCCTAGAGCTCGCTCCAGGGACAGGGCTGGGGTGAATGGCTTCATACACAGAGCGGGGAGCCAGAATGACCTGGACAGTCGTCTGGAGCCCATCTCAGGCTGGGCCTGCCACAGGCTCTTTGGTTATCAGTTGGGGTGTGTACCTAGAGAGGGTTGGGTGGTGTCCGGGTGCTGAGAAAGGAGCAAGTCTTCCACTGGTTACATTCTCCCTAGTACCTGATAAGAGTCACCACAGACAATGGGCCTGGAGGGGCACAATGTCAGGATCTTGCAAAACCATGCGGGACATCATCCAGCTACAGAGCTGTGCAGAAGGGGGGTTGGAAATGAGCGGAGCCGCAGGCACACGAGCAAGGGTAAGAAGCTATGTGTGCCAGCAAACCCCACCCAATGGCAGGGTCCCGCCCCAACCCCCTCAGCCAAGGGCCAGAGCCCCTTCCTGGTTCCCTCTTTCCTGAGCAGTGGGGCCTAAAACAGGTGGAGAGAGGTCCTGAGTTTGGTTGGGCTTCTCCACCTGCCTCTCTTCACCTCCGGGCTCCCGAGCCTGGTCCAGCCGGCAGCTCGCCCACCCTCAGTCCTCCTGGTAGGCAGCCGCCACACTGTCCGCAGGGCTCTGGGCCACGCACTGCCCTGGGACGGCCCCACTGATGTTGTGGATGGCGCCGTAGGTCTGCTGCTGCTGCGGGGACAGAGCTGTTCTCTCCGAGGCCAAGCCGTTCAGAATCCGGGGCACGTAGGGCTGCCAGCAAATGGGGGCATTAGTGCTTGGGTAGGGCAGGCATGGGATGCAGCACCCCGTTCCTCCCCTGCTGCCCCTCCTCCTTCCAGCAGGAGGACACATACAACACTCATGAGGGACACATAAAGAAATCACGTCAACTTAGGACATCAGGACCCAAAATATGCCAGCTGCAGTTTCCTAGCAGCTACAGCACAACAAAAAAACGCAGTCAATTACACAATTCTCACGATCATAGAGAGGGATGCACACATGCCTATTTCTCAGAGGAAACAAAGCTTTTCCTGGCACTGGATCCTAGGAGAATTTCTCACTGTATATAAGACACAAGTCTATCTACACAGGACAGGCTTAGGATGCTATCAATGGGACTTCTGGGAAACTGAATGAATTGTTGTAGGTTATTTCTCTTTCCAGTCCCAGGCTCCCGTGCTGACCCCGGGGCACAGCCCTGTTATGCTCCTCCCCAGACTCAGGCAGACAATAAAGGATTTACATCATCCACCTGCCCTGCAGAACCTTCTGAGAACTTTCTGAGAACCTTCTGTGGGCTGGCTGGTCCAAGGACACACTGATAAGAGTGCCTGACACCTGGGAAGCAGCCACTGGTAAGAACACTGCTGATGAGATGCCTGCTGCCCAGCCCTGGTTCTGTCGGGAAGGCCAGTGGTCACCGCTCTGGGATCCCGTGGTTCCGTTTTCCTTTCCCAGTCCCAAGGGCAGGACCGGAAACGGAGAACCAGGAAGGAAAGGAGTCGTGGTGTCTGTCTAACAGAGTGCTTACTCTGAAGCATTAATTGTTAAATTCAAAGGGGGGGCAGCTGGCCAGCTCAGATGGTTAGAGCACAGGCTCATAACACCAAGGTTGCCGGTTTGATTCCCACATGGGCCAAGGAGCTGCACCCTCCACAACTAGATTGAAACAACTACTTGATGGAGCTGATGGGTCCTGGAAAAATACACTGTTCCCCAATAAAATTTCTCAAAAAAAAAAAAAAATCAAAGGGGAGTTGGTTTGACACCACAGAGGACCTCACACAGGCGGTGCTGCTGAAACACTCACGATAAGCTTCACCAAACCATAGGGCCTGCAATATTTCTTCATGAAAGGCCCAAACCCTCCAGGCATTAAATATGCAGAGAAGGAAAGTGAGCAGGGAAATGAAACCAAGGCGGACGGGCATACATCGTGGCAAAGCTAATTCTCTTCTCAGTGACACATGGATGTGGCTTCACATATGTACGTTAAAACACCCAGAGGGACCAGGAATTCTTTCTCAAGTAACATTAATTCAGCAATTTGCCTGGCATATGATCAAGGGACTTCTATTTTTAAAAGAGGGGATCAAAGCACTTTTGCAGGGCCCATCTGGTTGGGGCCTTTGCCAGGGCTCGGTGCTGGGGGAGAACCGTAACTTACTGTGAACGGCGGAGGCACGTAGGCCTGGGCCTCGCTTCCTTTGTCACTTATGGATTCTTCTGTCTGCAGATAACAGCAGAAACTTGCAATGATAAACAAAACTGATCTTCCCGAACTAATACCCTCCAAACAAGTAACACCCAGAATAATAGTACCAGCTGGCACCAAGCTCCCAGCAGCAGCCCAAGAGAAGTTGGGGGGGGCGGGCAGTGAAGGGAGAAGGGAAGGGGGTGGAGAGGGAAGCCACACATTGTACCCAACTGTCCACGCCTTTCCCATGAATAAATAAAATCTACAGAAGGCTGTTGATATGTGAAAGGGTGGAGAGTAAACTGATATCTTCTCCTCCCAGGTCGTGGCTGGGCTGCAGGTGCTGGGGCCCTTTACCTTGTAGTTCAGAGGGCTCAGGTGCCTGAAGCATCCAAAGCAGGTGTAGGCCAGGCAGACCAGGATGGTGAGCAGCACGACCAGGAAGGTGAACAGGGTGGCAGGGGCTGTCAGACCTGGGGACAAAGGGATGCCAGCTTCAGGGAGGAAGGGAGGGGAAGGGTCCACACGGGGTACAAGAACTGTGGGTGACTTCTCAGGCAGAAAATAAAGAGAAGGCACCACTCCCCAGACCTCATCAAGCAGCTGGGATGGTGTCTTAACAGCCGGGGACACACAGAGCAACTCACTGAACAGTTGGCATTATCGCTCCTCAGATTTCAGGTACTAGGACACCAAGTCAATGGCAATTTCCCAGTTTCCTTGCTGGGTCAGTTCCCTCCAGTCTCCAGGGCCCTGCACCCTGGGTGCCACGTTCTGATTGGACACCCAACCAGCCCTCAGCCTGGATGCCACATTCTGATTGGACACTGAGTTGATGCTGTTAAAGCAGTAAGGGATTTGACTGGCCGGTATAGATATGGGCATGTGAGGCCCAGGGCTGCCTCCCTACCCCCAGGTCAGAAGGGCCCCTCACCCAGGCGCAGGAAGGAGAAGAAGTAGAGCCAGAAGAGGCACAAGATGGGCGCAGCCAAGGCCTGGTTCACAGCCGCGAAATGGATCCTTTTATCCAGCTTGGCTGGGAGGTAGGCAAAGTAGAGGTTGTGCCGGTCCACCATGTGCTTGAGCAGGATGTAGATGAGGCCTGCAGAGATGGAGCTGTAAGCTGGAGACCCGGCTGGGCCACAAGGGCCCCTCTGCCCCCTTCCTCCTGGGATGGCTATTTTGGCACAGAACTGGGGCTAGGTCTGCAGAAGATGGGGAAAATGCATAAACGCGTTTCCTAGCTGCCAGCGTTTAGTCTCTCTCCCCCCTCGCCTCCTCCCTTCCCTCCCTCTTTCTGGCCTCTTTCTGACTCCAAGGAGTAGATGTGTCTGTGAGTCTGTGCCCACGGAACACTGAAATTCTAGGATCATTTTGGAGAAAGAAGCGATTTTACACTCAGATACCTGGCCTCAGCTGCTTCCTGGGCCCCTCTTCATGCTGAGCACCCCCCAGATCCTTCAATGCCCCCACGCTCCTTTGCTTCTCTCTCCCAAGCCGACTTCCTACCCACACCACAGTCTATGGCCACCCAAGGACCTTATCCCAGGGGCGGCACGTAAGGTGGGGACTGCCTTTTCTATTATGTCAGACTTGTTTTTTGTTTCATTTTGTTTTGAAAGAATAATATTGTATTTTAAAAATAGTACACGAGCATAAACAGAAAAAACTAAACTTCCTCCTACCCCTAAACCTCGGCTACCACTGCCCACAGTCTCTCGGGTATTCTGTTTCCTTCCAGAGTCTTCCATTCGTCAGCCAGTTTCTGATGTTTTATTTTAGTTGCAAGACCTTGGTCTTTGAAATAGAACAGTCCCTAAGTTCGAATCCTGGCTCTGCTGCTCACTGACACATATTCAGAGCTTCATCTGTGAGAGGGGACAGGAACAAGGCCTGGCTTGTAGGACTGTGTGAGAATTAGTGGGACCATCCATGGGGAGATCAGGGGTGACCGGCCAGGGAGAGCACCCATGGGAGCCTCGGTCATGACTCCGGGCTGTCTTTGCTGAAGAAACAACCAAGAATGGCGTGT